CTCTCCGATATAACTAAACCATGAAACATCATTTCAACGTGAAGGAACTTATTATTTTCTTTTTTAAGAGATGGGGTTGGGGGAATGGGAGTTCAAGTAAATCATACAAATTCTTACATTGGACAAGACCAATCATTTGGACCAAAAAGCCCTCCTCCAGCTGGAGCTCCGACTGCACGAGCACCTCCTGAATCAGGGCCACCACGGCCCCTTCCTCGGCCACCACCTGCTGCACCACCACCAGCGGCTCCAGCAGGGCGTGCAGTTCCACAACGGTTGCACACACCTCGAAATGCAAAGTTTACGTTGCCACAACTGTTTCCATTAAAAAAAAAAAAAGAGGGAGAGTATAAGTAAGTGTGTCCACAGCAAGTTTTTCGGGCGAAACAAGAAAAGATAAGTAAAAAGAGCAAGAATGAGCAGCTCACCAATGATCACATCACAGACCTTGTATTCAAACACGTCCAATCTCCATCTTGCTGCCATGCTTTTCCCGCACCATCGCCTCGACCTCGACCTCTTCCAGCCCCATCATCCACATCCACATCCACATCCGCATCCACAGCTCCTTCCTCCACTCCATTGATTTCACTAGTTATAACTTGATCAACAGCATGACTCCCACTATCGTCCTTATTTTTGGACTCCGCCAGAAAGACTCCAATTGTTGCTCCATGGAAATCATTGTTGTTGAACCATTCAACAGCAGCTAACGCAGCATGCGGGTCCTCGTACGTGACTGTGGCATCACCTTTGGGCTCATTTGTCACTTTATCATGGTATATCCATATCTTGGGGCGCCCGGTTCGTTTGTCTTTCTATGAAACATAAGTATTACTTCAGTCCACAAGCAACTTACGAAACAAATAATGCTCAGATACACACACACCCATGAATGTGCAAACACGGAAACATGGATTAATGGGAGGTAAAGTTTGTGAAACCTAGATCCAAATTGTAACTCTATAAACGAACACATGCACATGCATAAAAACTCAACTCTTCTTACAGTTCTACAAACATATGTTCACATTAAGCTGCAACCACACACAAAAGTCACTAGATCTTATGGATACCCAAAGGCAACTCGGAAAAAGAAAAAAAAAAAGAAAAAAAAAGGGAATACCTTTAGCAAACCAATAGTACCAAAGTGTTCAGCTAACATATCATCATCAGTACCAAAAGGCAAGTTACAAACATAAACAGTCCCATTCGTTGGGGCACCTTTTCCCGAATAGTTCGCCATTCTGCTCCAATTTCATGAAGCGCCGCAACAAAACAAAAATTAGAGTCCGAAATCACCCTTCGACGATTGCCCTATCCAATCAAGCGATAAAAAAAATTCAATTACAATTTCAAAGAGAGAGAGAGAACGAAAAATCAGAAGTCTGTCAATGGTGGTTTCCCGTAGAACTGAAACGAATTTAACCATCATTGCTTCGTATGTGATAAGGTTTAAGAAATGATTTTTACAGAAAATTTTGAAAAGAAGAGAATTGAGAGAGCGGAACAAAACCTAATTCCGCCGGTGGGTGTGGTGGTGGACGCCGTCGCAGGTGTACTCCGTTAGATGAGGAATTAATTTGGTTTTTGCCCGTCTGCGAAATGGGAAGGGGATCGACAAATTGCAAATATGCCCCGGGACAAGCATCGTAATTTATGGTACATTGGAGGGTAATTTGGTCCTTTTCATTTATTGGGCCTCAGTCCAGTTTTATGGCCCATTGTCCCAAACCCTGCTATAAATCCAATGAAGAGTAATAACTTTTTGCCCATGAAATGGACTTTGTTATAAGCCTTGACCCGTTTCACAAATCAATAATAATAATAATAATAATAATAATAATAATAATAATAATAATAATAATAATAATAATAATAATAATAATAATAATAATAATAATAATAATAATAATAATAATAATAATTATAATAATAATTATAATAATAATTATAATAATAATTATAATAATAATAATAATAATAATAATAATAATAATAATAATAATAATAATAATAATAATAATAATAATAATAATAATAATAATAATAATAATAATAATAATAATAATAATAATATTTAATATTTAATATTTAAATGAAAAAATAAAAATGATCAAATGAAAATTAGAAAGAAATTTTGGAATTCTTAATAGTTGTTTAGAAAATTTCACTTTAACAAATTTAGAATTTCACTGACACTCTTCTAAATTATTCTTAATACCAATAAGGAGGGCATTTTTTACTCTACCAACCCTCGTTAGGAGAGTTGGTTTGGTACCTAACATTTATCAATAGGGTAAAGGTCTAGGATTCGAGTCCTCCCTCCCCTACTTCCCCTATAATGGACTAGAATTTATTCAAAAAAAAAAATACAAACAAACAAAGACAATTATTCTTATCGTTGTGAAAAAAAAAATTTAGGTTGACTTCGTCCGCAATTTTCTAGTGAAGAACATGTTTCTATTGGCAACAATTGTAATGCGAAACAATGAAGTGCACAACGTTGAGGGCGATACTACATGTAATATTGTTAGTTTTAGTAAAGTTTTTCTTCCATGGTGTTTGGAACCAGCTCACGGTTTCTAATCAGAATGGATTCTGCATAGTGAGGATCAAGTCAAGGTCAATTTCTACGTAGCTTTCCCTCCCGAGAAGGATTTCTTCGTTACGGGAACGGCAAGTGCATTTGGTAGAGCGTAGAGCGAGTTTTCCGTCAGCCGGATGTTGTTAAATGGGAAGCTCGAGCAGCACAAACGACGCTTTCTATTTTGGTGTCCAAAGGGTGGAATTCCCTTGTGCTGAAGGAG